CTACAGTTTACACTCATCTACAGGCCAGGTCTCTACAGTTTACACTCATCTACAGTTCAGGACTCTGGAGTTTACACTCATCAACAGGCAAGGACTCTGCAGTTTACACTCATCTACAGGCCAGGACTCTGCAGTTTACACTCATCGACTGGCCAGGACTCTACAGTTTACACTCATCTACAGGCCAGGTCTCTACAGTTTACACTCATCTACAGTTCAGGACTCTGGAGTTTACACTCATCAACAGGCAAGGACTCTGCAGTTTACACTCATCTACAGGCCAGGACTCTGCAGTTTACACTCATCTACAGGCAAGGACTCTGCAGTTTACACTCATCTACAGGCCAGGGCTCTGCAGTTTACACTCATCTACAGGCCAGGGCTCTGCAGTTTACACTCATCTACAGGCCAGGGCTCTGCAGTTTACACTCATCTACAGGCCAGTGGTCACTCTTTCAGGGATGAAGATGTTCTCATCCTTGATAGAGAGGAAAGTTGGTTTGAGAGAGGAGTAAAGGAAGCCATMTTTGTGAAGAAAAACCRTCCACCATTAAACAGAGGTGGAGGCCTTCGTGTCCAGTTGTCCTCCTCCTACAATGTTGTTATTACAAGTATGACTCAGCTCCATGTGAGCAAAAGGTGTGAATCAGGGCCCCAACGATAGTCAGGTGATTGGGCACATGACCCTCTATGAACAATAGAGCTAATCAAGGCATTAACGACCTATTGTTTGGCTGATGGTCCTCTTTTGCATGTGACCAACCTGTTTGTCCACCATGTGGAGGCAGTGCTTATAAGGCTGAGTTCACCTGAAACTCCTCAGACTGAAGAAGACTCTCGGAGGAGAGAGGAAACGTTTCATTAAAAGAAGAACCCGTCCAGAGGACCTACTTATTTTTTCTTTTTGAAAAGATAATCATATTTATTATTAATTTATTTTTTTACAACATGCTGTATATTTAATCTGATCCAGTCAGAGGGTCTGTAGATCTATAAGAAAGGAGAGACACATTGTTCTAAATAGAACAAAAGTTTTTTTAAAGTTGTAATGTTTTAGTTCTAACTCAGTAAGTACTCGGTATCAATGAGTACCCAAACTGAAGTACTCATACTCGGTTTGAGAAAAAGTAATATTGGGACAATCCTAATTTTCACATGATGTGTTTCATGAAAAGTGTAGAAGTCAACAGGCGGCCCTCTTTGCAGTGATGAAATAAAAATTCAGTTTTTAAATGTAAACCAAACTGAATTTTCCATTTCCACTGGATGGATATTAAAGTGTATCTTACCCCCCCCCCCC